AAAACGCTCCTCTGTGGACCTTTAACCACCCTGCCTCAAAAAATTGATTTTCTTTTCTTAAGGACTTGGGGAGAAGATTAAAATGAAAAAAAGGTGAGGAAGTTAAAATACAAGACCTGCTTTATAGAAAAGGGAAAACAGTCCAGGTCTCTTGAACAGACACCAAGACAGAATTAAGAAACAAGAATTTAATAGAAAACTACCTTAGAGGGAAAATGAGGAGGGCACCAGGCAAGGTTGGCAGAGCTGTCAGATCATGATGTCAGTCTGACTCTCAGTGAAGGAAAGAAGCAAGGGTGGTTGGGTCTAGGCCTCCTAAGCCACTTTTCCCTATAAGAAATGCTTGATAAGGCCTTCAAGAAATCCGCAGGCCAAAGCCAGCATCAGAGGGACACCTGTATTGTCCGAACAGATCTGCCTTAGAATTAATGCTGAACTCTCTCTCTCTGGCTGCAGATAGCACATGGGTGATATGGCTTCAGTGCAAAAGCAGTCCTGGATATCAAAGCTCAGCCCCTTGGGCCTTTGGTCAGCCATGTTCCCTGTGATTGGAGGTATAGGAAGCCCTTTAACAAGCTGGGACTAATTTGAATATCAGATTTCTGGCCCATCAATGATGGGCATTTTCAAAGTAAAGAATAATGTGGTCAGAAAGGAATTTGGGAAGATGACGTGAGCATTTCAGTTCTTGTGAATAAAGAGGACTTAATAGACATAAACTTTACCTATGATAAATGATAACCAAAGGATGTTTTAAAAATAAAACTTATGTACGGATATGAAGTTGGTGAATAAATGCCAGCAAACACAACACCCTTTGACTTCTGAAATCCTGTTATGGATTTCAAGTACCCTTAGTATTTATAACATTAATTTAAACCTGAGTTAGGGTAGCTTTCACTGGAAAGGGCCAGAGAACAACTATTGTAGATTTGGAGGGCCAGTTATTATATCACAATTATTCAATGTCACCTTTTAGTGTGAAAGCATTCATAGATAAAGAGGCATGGCTGGATTCCAATAAAACTTTATTTACAAAAGCAGGTGTCCACCTGGTTTGGCCCACAGGCCATTGTTTATAGCCACTGATTTAGAATTTCAAATAAATTACATCAGATCATACTGAAACTAAGGAGTTCAAGAGATAGGTGTGTGCATTAAAGAACCAGGCTCTAGCATGGAACTCTGGGAACAGCACTACGTAAAGGAAGGATGAAGGAAGAGGCACTGAAGAAAAACATGCATAACTTTTCTTTTGCACTACCTTTTTAATCTTCTTTTTTCATGTTGAGGTTTTCTAGGGTCCTATTATTCTTTCATTTGGGGAACATATTAAGGTTGCTTTATGTTTTTCTCCTGGCTATTGTATCTATTTTTATCTTTACTCCAAGTTAAATAATTTTTTTTTCAGAAAGTTCAGCCATTTCTTTTCAGAAATTCTGACTTTTATTCCAATTGATCATACATAAGACCAGCTCCAGACAATATAAACTTAATATGTTTAACTCAGCTAATTTTCTTTTAAAAATATATTTTATTGATTTTTTTACAGAAAGGAAGGGAGAGGGATAGAGAGTAACATCAATTAGCTGCCTACTGTACACCTCCTACTGGGGATGTGCCTGCAACCAAGGTACATGCCCTTGACCGGAGTTGAACCTGGAACCTTTCAGTGCACAGGCCAACACTCTATCTACTGAGCCTAACCAGTTTGGGCATCTCAACTAATTTTCTTATCCAACCAACATCTTCAACCTCAGTACTCTCAAGGAAAACTAACACTTTGAACATCAAGCCTGTGTAATTCCCTCAGTCTCATATGCAATCAACAAACTGAGAACATGGCCTCTCCTTAAATATGTGTCCCTCTCTTTTTATAATTTATTTTCCATAAATTCAATATTTCTTGCCTTGGAATATTGAAAACATATCTGGTCTATTTAGTGCCTCCTAATTTTTGTCCATCCTCCAGAATAATCTCACTTAAAAAATAGTTGTAGTGAACATTTAGAACTATTTATTTCTCAACACCTCCAACCCCAACAGTTATGTGCATCATGAGATTTAACAGCAACTGTTTGGAGTCTGTCTGAAGACCATGTTGCCTACCATTCCAAGAGAACTGAACAATATTTAAGATCAAAGCTGACAGAGAGGAAGAATTTCTCAAAGATTTTATTGAATTAATTTCCCAAATCTTATTCGTTCAATGTCATTCTCCTCTTAGCATATAATTCCTACATCTATTTGATGGAAGAAAGTAAAAAGAACTTCTTGGGAAAAGTTGCTACTATAAGGTTACAGCTTCTTATCCATTCTAAGTCTCAATCATCTAAGTTTCAAATTTCTATTACAGTCATTTTCTTTTCCTCCCTAACTATAAGAAAAAAAGGTTTATTTAGAAATACACAGTGATAGAACGAGGTGAGCCAACTGGTCTGAATGGGCTCAGGAAACAAGTTAAAGGAACAAAAAAAGGGCCCCTGGAATTTAGGAAAAATAAGCAGAGGTAATGCACCACAGAAAGCAGTGAGGGAAAGATGCAGGTGTACTCCAGAGAGGTAGCACACTCCAGTCATTCCAACAGCTTTGTTTAGAAAGAGTTATGTCTGATCTCAACTGACCAGAAGAGAAGAGACAAAATAAATACAATATATATTTGATCATTATTCAAAATCAGTTTCTTTAAGGTGAAATTTTTATTGTACCTTTTCTATATGTAGATATATTTAGATGTACAACACCACTGTGTTACAAATGCCTATTCAGTACAGTAACATGCTGTACAAGTGTGTAGTAGGTTATGCCATCTAGATTTCTGTTAAGTACACTCTGTTTGCACAATGACAAAATCACCTAAGGACTCATTACTCAGAATGTATCCCCATTATTAAGTGACATATATGACTGTATAGTTTTAGGAAATCCAGAATAATATTTTCCTTTAGGCTTCAGGTTTGAAAAGAGAGCCCAGCGCTAGACAACAGAGAGCCTCAAATGGCAAAGTAGGACATTTATACTTTTTATATTAGTATAGTTGCAATATCCCTTCATCATTAAAAAATTGAGTATACTCCTCACTATATGAATATTTATTCATTCATAAGTTATATACATGTGGAACAAATACATTCAATCTTACATATACTTCTCCAGAGAGACATTCAGAAAATACTTTCTAACTCATTTTATACTTTTGATACCTAAACCTCTCAAGAAAATATGAGAAAAGAAAATTATGGACCAATCTTGATCAAGAATATAAATGACAAAATTTACTAGTAAATGAAATGTAATTGAACTAAATCTAGCAATGCATTTTAAAGAATGATAAGGTTCAATTAAACTCAGAAATGTAAATCTGGTTTAACATTAAGAAAATCAAGTAATATAATTTACTACATGAAAGGATTAAAAGAGAGAAACTATATCTGCAAGTCAATATATGTAAAAAAATCAATAAAATTTAACAACCTACTGAGGACCAGAAAAAGAAAAACTAAATTCTTTTATGGCAAAATAGGAAAGGAACAGATTTTTTTTTATTCTGATGAAAATTATTCATAAACTACTCAAGGCAAACCTCATACTAAATATAATACCCTGTTTCCCTGAAAATAAGACAGTGTCTTATATTAATTTTTCCCCCCAAAGTTGTGCTAGGTCTTATTTTCAGGGGATGTCTTATCTTTCCATGTGCTAGGTCTTATTTTCGGAGGATGTCTTATTTTCAGGGAAACATGGGTAGTATTTTCTCTATATTATGAACCCGAATGTGCACTATTGCCTCATTTATTCAATAATATTCTAGGAGTTTTGGCTAGGGTTTTATTATGAGAAAAATACTATAGAAATGTAATTGTTGAAAGGAAAGACATAAAATCGCTGTTATCCTTAAGAAAAAAAAAATATAATGTAAAACTTCAGTAGCATTACAGTAGTTGAAATGGACTAGATTATTCTGTAATAACATAGAACCACACAATTTCAGAAACTTAAAAACATAAAAGCTATATTTTACTCATAGTACATGTCTAACAAGGGTGAGCCAGAATGTGCTTATTCATTTTCTCAGGGACCCCAGCCACTGGTGACCCAACTGAGACACAAGCTTCCATACATGCTTTTCAAGATATCCTGAGAGTGAAAATGCAAATTGAAGTTGATCACCAACATTACATTTTATCCACCTACAAGTGTCAAGTGTCACTTCCAGTCACATTTTATTTCATTGGTGAAGGCAAATCAAGAATATGCTTAACTGCAAATGGTGGAACCCTACCATGTTCCCAGATTGAAAGTTTGGTAAACACCATTAGATTCTGCATGTCAAATATTATAACTAACAAGACTTGTGTTTAACAAAATTGGATATATATATATATATATATATATATATATATATATTATGTGTATAACTGTTATATTTATAATTTTTATGGCAACTGCACATTCACTAGCAACAGTTAGAAACTATAATTTAAAAATACTCATTTAATAATGTATAAAATATATAAATTTTTAGAAATAAATCTAACCAAAGATGCAAGGCTGGAATCAACAAAATTATAATACTTTGTTATGAGAAATTAAATAAGATTTAAATAAATAGAAGGATAAAATAGGCTACTAGAAGTCTATGGATCTGTATACTTAATACTATAATAAATAAATCAGCCTAACTTGGTCCTTGTGTTTCTTTGTTTTGAAACATCTAACAAATGGTATATAACATTATAAGAAGAGAGAAGAAGAAAAATTCCTTGAGGAAACCAACCAGATAGTATAATTTGTCCTACCAAATAAGATAAAGTTTTAGTAGTACATAAGATTAACATTTGAAGTAGAGCTACATAATAGAGCCTAAGAAAACTCATATATGTATTTGGAAATATAATTTATAAAGTTGTTGATTGTGTATTGGAGAACATTGATAAGAGTATGGATTTCATAATAAATGAGGCTTAAATACATTATCCTAATTAAAATTTAATGCTAACCTATACCAAACATCCTTGTACCTGTCTGAAGCTTTCATTAAAAGACCCACCAAACTCTATCATTGATCTTCTCTCCTTCATTACTTCTTTAGGTCATTAGATGATCATTATGTTGGTGGACAAGGGAGATTTTCTCCTGGAATTGACAAACCAATAGCATTTAATATTCTAAAACTCTATTGCCTTTGCCATTAATTTACAATGTTCCTTTGAAACACACACACACACACACACACACACACACACACACACACACACACACACCTTCATTTTTTTCTGGACCTGCCTTAAAGCCATGCTTAGAGGTAGAGAGAAAGAAAACCATCCAGCATTCTATGCCTAAAGCATGGGGGGTCTACACTTTAAAAAAATCCTTGGAAAGACAACATATTAATTATTATAGACCCACAAAAATTGGAGACATAAGCACACTTTAGAACCTGATTATAATTTCCCATTTTTGAGGCATTAGGTTCTTGTTGGGGGGGAGAGGGGGGAGGCATGGGCAGAGGAATAGGCAAGAACATATGCATTCAAGTAATATTAAAAAGCAAAGATTACAGCAATATAATGTAATGAGAAAATCGCCAAGATTTTGAATATTGGTTGCTGGTAGACTCATCCCATTAGTGATAAAAATGAGATCAAGGGTGGTCATGAAGGGAACTAGGTTTAATGGTAAAGGCAATACAATCAGAAATACCCAACAAGTCTTTAGAAAGGTAAGATTAAAATCCAGGGTCAAAACTGAGCTTCAACATGAAAATCCATACCTATTTACTTGATTATGGTCAGTAAATACTGGTTAATTCCAGGAATATATATGGGCCAAGATTACTGATTGAATTTGTTGAACTAACAAACCCTAACTTTTATGGGATCTAGTCTTATCAATAGTGAGAACTGTTTACATAGACTAAATCTGACAGCAATTCTCCATCTGTTAAAAAAAAAAAAGAAAGAAAAGAAAAGAAAGAATTAAAGAATTAACCCAGCTGGCATGGCTCAGTGGTTGAGCATCGATTTATGAACCAGGAGGTTCCATTTCTGGTCAAAGCACATGCCTGGCTTGTAGGCTCAATCCCCAGTGTGGGGTATGCAGGAGGCAGCCAATCAATAATTTTCTAACATCATTAATGTTTCTAAATCTCTTTCTCCTGCTCCCTTCCACTCCAAATAAATGAATAAATAAATAAATAAATAAATAAATAAAAATAAAATAAAAAATCCAAGAAAAATGTAGCTTGATTGGCTCAAAAGTGATACTAGACAAGACACAAAGATTTTTTAACTTCATTCATGATGGTAATCATGAGTAATCGTGCTCATTGTATTTAAACATTATGATGTCCTTGTTTATTATAATTCCATCAAAACCTAACTCTGAATATTACTAACATGTTACTGCTTGAAGATAAGTTAAACTGAATGCCAATGGAAATAAATAAAGAACACTAATTTGAAAAATATATATATTCACTCCTAAGTTTATTACAACATTAATTGTTATAGAAAAGATATGAAAGCCACATAGGTGTCCATCAACAGATGAATTAATAGAGAAGATATATATTGAGTGGCCAGATTATTATGATCTCTGAATGCACAATAATCTGGCCTCAGTGTATATGTAGTGGAATATTGCACAGCAAAAAAAAAGTCACATTTGGGACAATATGGATGGATCTAGAGGGCATTATGCTAAGTGAAATATGTCAAGCAGAGATAGGCAAATGCCATGAGGTTTAACCTACATATAAACTCTAAAAAAAGGAAACAAATGGAAAAAAACAAAGCAAACTCATAGAAACAGAGGCCAAAGGGATGATTACCAGAACAGAAAGGGTAAAGGACAGGTGAAAAGGTGAAGGAGATTGTAGTTAAAGACAATGACAAGTTTGCAAGGTGGGATGATTGCTTGGCAAGGTATAAATCACTATACTGTACACCTAAAACTAATATAATCAGCATAATATTGTATACCAACTATACTTAAATAAAAAAATAAAGAAAATGAAAGGCTAAACAATAGACTTTTCATTTATATAATTACAAAAAAAAATCACAGAAAAGCAGGGAGAATAGAACCTGCAGGTGTGGGAGCAGGGAGAGAATATTTTGAACGAGGATCTCAGGACAAGGCACTGGCCAATGTATTAAGAAAGAGAATTATGTCCAGCAGTATGGCTCAGTGGATCGAGTTTGTCCAATGAACACCAAGATGCTCCATCTCCAACAGGGGGCATGAAGGAGATAGCTAAGTAATGTTTCTTTCTCATCAGCGTTACTTCCTCTCTCTTCCCCTCCTCTTTCTAAAATCAATAAAGACATATTTTTAAAAAGAAAGAGAATGATGAAATTCTTCTAAGGTACTTATATGTGGGTGTAGGTTTTAATTATGCCATTATATGCACAGGTTTGTACTTACATAAATATACATCATATGTGGAGACAATTATTTTAATGGGGGTATTTAAAAAACACCTCCAGCATTGTCAAAAGTAAATTGTGTGGTGCATTACACTTACCAGGGCATGTTATTTTAGCTAATGCATTTACCTTTATGGTAATTATCAACCACTTATGTTTTATGGGTAAAGCCCTATGGCATAATGCTCAGTCGACTTTGCATAACTATGATGATTTGCACTCCTTCTTAATACAGCCTAAATGTTTTTATCTTTTTGCAATTTATCTTGTTCTCTAGTGGCGGTTCAAAATATTGGGCCTGCGTCCAAGATATTGTTGCAGAATATGAGTTCTCCAATAGTACTAATAAAATGTGCACTTTCTTGATTTATTTTTTTTCTGCTCTCTTGCTTCAATAGCTGAACATTTCTTCAGCTAGCATTCAGTTAATTAAAAAGCTTGTATCAGGGCACAGGATATGCCCACAAGAAAACCTCAAGCAGTGCAGATGGCCCCACCTCTGCACTCAGAAGCAGAAAAGCAGTGTGTGAAACAGCTGTGGGCTGGGAGGCTCTGGGTGGGCTCTGCCTTCTGGCATGCAATAAGAAGAGTGAATCTGATTTGAACCTCTGGTGCTCAGATCAATTAATGCCATGCTAAACAGCTTTCCAGCTGCAGGAGTGTTCAGAATTTCCTCTTTGCAGCCATAATTTTTTGCTGAAGTCATGTGCCACCTGGAATGATGCATGTGCTACACATTGCCCAGAAAGCTGTGGTTCTGTGAATGTGGCTACAGCGGATGCACAAATTGGAGGAAGAAGAGGCAATGGTCCCTAGATGTTTTCTAAGAGCCCCCACTTGATCTCTATAGAGAAACCTTAAGGTGGGGTAGCACCTTTACTCCTTTTTCCTTCCAGGTCCTCATATACCAGAATTTTGGGAGAGTCTAGCATTCTATAGCTTAATTGCAATCAGCTTTTACCTTATATTGTAGAAGCAATAAATATTGACCCACTGGAAATGCATTCCAAAGTACTCCCCTGTCCTCAATTGCAAACACAAAGAATCGAATTACTTAGGGGCACAGAATTCAGCTTCTCCTCCTCCTCCTCTTTTTCTTCTTTCTTTCTTTCTTTCTTTCTTTCTTTCTTTCTTTCTTTCTTTCTTTCTTTCTTTCTTTCTTTCTTTCTTTCTTTCTTTCTTTCTTTCTCTCTTTCTTTCTCTCTTTCTTTCTTTTCTTTTTTCCATATTTTATTTTATATTATTATTTTTTTAGCATAAGGAATCTAGTTGTAAAATCAAACTGAAAATCAAATCAATAACCCCATGATAGTCTCAAGGGCCTGTTAGAGGAAAAGATATCTCAACCCAAGAAATATAAAACTGGTTGAGGTACAGTCTCCACACACCAGTGATTGAATCAACTCTTTGGATATCACTTTGAAATTAGACATAATTCAGAGGAGATTGTTCTTATGATTATTTTATCTCTGTATAGGTAAGTTACCACTCTACCCTACAAATCAACCAATGAACAATCAAAACATTAACAAAGAAAAAAATGAGATGAGATGGTCCCAACAGCTATTCCCAATCAATTTCCTTCTATGATTTTTTTCAACACTCTATGTAATTTAGATAGATTTCTGTTATCCTTGTTATGCATTGGTGAAGAGTGAGAGTTTGTTTGAACTGAAGAATTCAGGGTAATGTGAAGCTTTTATCTCATAGAGCATTGTTTGCATAATAAATAATTAAGAAATTAATAACAACTAAATGACTGGTTTGACAGGGAAAAATGTATTTGTATCTAAAAGAGAATCATCTTCTACTAAGAGAGCTTATTATACTTCATTTACAAGCTAACAATGTAGTTACAGTATTTATCTATCACTGTAATAAGAAAACAACAGCAGCTTTTGTCCCTAATTACAATTATGGTGTTTTTTATTCAAGAACAAAACACAGATTTCTGTTTTTAAAATGCCTTCATTTTTACTGCTTAAATTAGGAATGAATTGATATACAAGTCACTGTGTCAAGACTCAGAGTAGAAATGCAATCAGGGTTTAGGTAACAAATGAGCAAGAACACATGATCATTATAGCTGTTAGTAGAAAACCATTACATAAAGCCCTTATTCTCATTTCATTTATGTGTCTACATTACAACTTTGCATCTAAGAGACTTAAATAGCAAGTGAAAAACCCATGAGCCATCTATACTAATAAAAGGGTAAAATGTTAATTAGTCCAGACATCTTCTGGATATCCTTCCAGACAGAGCCATAATGGCTGAGGCAGAGGTGGTTAGGGGCAACCAGGCCGGCAAGGGAGGGCAGTTAAGGGCAACCAGGCTGGCAGGGGTGAGCAGTTAGGGGTAACAAGGCTGGCAGGCAGAGTGGTTAGGGCCAAACAGGTAGACATGCAAAGTGGTTAGGGACAATCAGATAGGCAGGCAGGTGAGAGTTTAGGAGCCAGTAGTCCTTGATTGTGAGAGGGATGTCCAAGGGGTCCTGGAATGAAGAGGGTGCAGGTCAAGCTGAGGGACCCCTCTCTTATGCACAAATTTTGTGCACTGGGTCTCTAGTGTAAGTATAAACAA